GTGTGATACTGATAAAGTGTTATATAAGTACGAACCTCCGCCATGTGATACAGATAAAGTGTTATATTAGTACGAACCTCCACCATGTGATACTGATAAAGTGTTATCTTAGTACGAACCTCCGCCGTGTGATACTGATAAAGTGTTATATAAGTACGAACCTCCGCCATGTGATACAGATAAAGTGTTATCTTAGTACGAACCTCCGCAGTGTGATACAGATAAAGTGTTATGTTAGTACGAACCTCCACCATGTGATACTGATAAAGTGTCATCTTAGTACGAACCTCCACCATATGATACTGATAAAGTGTTATATTAGTACGAACCTCCACCATGTGATACTGATAAAGTGTTATATTACTACGAACCTTCACCAAGTGATACAGATAAAGTGTTATATTAGTACGAACCTCCACCATGTGNTATGGGCAAGAACAAGTAGGTCGAAATATGATGGAATACACTATGATAAATATTTCATAATCCATAAAGATTGAGTTAAGAGTTCTGTGGAAACATTTATTTGATTTTGAAAACCATTAAATGTCACATGGACATAATAGAGAGCCAATCAAATTGGACGTGACACTTTTTGTGTTTTGTAATGACACCTGCACATGTACACTAAACCCGTGATGAAGTAACAACGAAGCGTTAGATACACAGGAGATCAAACATCGCTCGTTTGGTAACTAGTACATACTTATATAAATAGTGTCATAAACACGATATGGACAATAGACTTGATACGATGCAAATGATTAATAGCAGACGTAATGTTATGATGTTAAGCTGCTAGCATATCTATATCTATATATTTATCATCTTTTGACAGAAGCTCATACAATCAAATATGAGCATATATGCCACTTACATAAGATTGAAGTTTGGTTTGATCATCCTGAACAAGAGCATCTATATATTTCTCTTTTTTTGATGGACACTTGACTTGATTCTGTTACATGTTCATACATATCAAACTTAGACAATTTGGGAATAAAAACAAGATCACAATCAAGTGGCATTACATTAAACAGAGGACAAACTGTTTTTTCATTTTATTTTTATTTTTAGTAACATAAATGAACTACAAAGTACAAGTCGATACGATCAGCAATGTTCTAACAAAGGATGAAGGATAGAAGTGAAATCAACCATGAGATGAAGAAAAAAGGAAGATATCAAAACAACCGGTGGTTACTGGTTGGGATAAAAGTTAACACTGAGAATAAAGATAAATACAGGATGTGTATTAAAGCTCTCTGGAAACAAACGTCCACATTCTAGCAAAAACACGTAGAACTTAACAGATTTATTACATCAATCGTATCAATATCAACAGTTACTTACTAATTGTAGGAGATATGAAGCTATTTAAAATATGTTGGAATATGTGGTTATCAAAAGAGAACAATTAAACTGTTAATTGAAAGCTTGAGAGAATATATATAATCGATAGGAAGGACAACAACTCCAGTAGTATGGCCTTATTATAATCAAATTAGAAATATTAAAGATTCTTATTGTTAGTAGCGATCTTGTCATATGTTTTGATTCCTATTGTCATAAAATGCAATCTTTGAATCGAAAGCCGTACATGAAATACAACATAGAAGACTACACGCCCAAAAACAGGGACGTGGTGAACATGTACAATAAGCTTATAAGATGTCCTTGATACCATTACAAATCAAAAATACTCCAAAGGTTAGAAAGGGTATGGCCATGGGAAAGAATGATATACCAATGTAGTACTTTATACTGGAAAATACAACAACAAAAGTGACCGAGTCTGAGAGCCTTACATTGCAGCCAAATGTCTTGATAAATTTATAAAATATGCCAAGATTGAAATCGATTGAAGGAGAAGGTAAGGGAAGCAAGAATTTGTATCAAAAGCGTGGAGAAAAGCTAATATAACTTCTACTATTAGGAAGGGACAAACATCAACATCGGAAATTTACATAACTGTCCCGATTGACTAACATTGATGTGAATAAATCTTCTCATATGAAGATTGATAAAGAAGCAATAAAAGTAGGTATATAAATCATGTCACTTCATTTGTACCTTAACTAGAACTTTGCACCAAAGGTAATATATGTAAATGAGGAACAGAGAAGCTGAAAAGCCAGCGTCCATTTTATAGCATATCGACAAAAGATCTCATAATAAACATTTGTAGAGTTAAATACACACTCTTATTACCAGTATAGTGTGTAGAACAACCGACTCGACACAGTTATAAATATACACCTATCACATCAGCATAGTACGAACATTTATAGTTATATGTATACCATACATTTTTATATCTCTCTCTCTATATATATATATCCCTTAACGTTCACATTCTGTCGTTAAATATGAACACATAGTACGAACATTTATAGTTATATGTACACATTTTTATATATCTAAATATATATGTCCCTTAGTGTTTGATGGACAATCAACTTTTTACAATTAATATTAACACAAATACACCGATCAAAATATGAAGGACAGACACATTCTGTCGTTAAATATGAATACATATGATCGAAAAGTAGGCTATGGACATTAAATCGAACCTGTAATAGGAGGCCACCGTCAGGAAGTTCAACTTGTGGTCTCTTAATGGTGGTGGTCGCATAAGACGGTGTGCCTTTATACGCATACACCATCAAATATAACAAAGTGAACGGTAGGTTTACTACATGAAATTGTAAGCATAAACCACCAAATATAACAAGGTGAACAGTGAGTTTACTAAAAGTACATCTAATTATACATATATACTATGGATTATAACAATGTGAACCCAAGGTTTACTACATACAATAATGAGCATAAACCGTCAATTTATTGAAATAAGCCGGAGGGACGGTTTATCACATCTATCATTATAGACTTAAAAACCTTAATTGCATAACCAATAATCGAACAAATAGACACTGTATTGTTTGGACTTCCGTTGTATGAATCCTCATTGGTTTTCCTATTGTAATTTAAGTAATGTAAAAGTGACATAGTCTGATAAAACACAGTACTGCTATTTAAGCAATCATATCGTTATAACGTATAGGCAAGATTCATAAGACAACTTCTTATTTTCATGTATAGGTAATAAATAAATTCAACTGAAGCGTTACCTGGAGTAATATTCGAGGTTTTTGACAATATCTTTGTCAAGTCCACGGCTCTGAGGGAAGAACAAACTTATTTGTACAACAAGTTCGAACGAATTTGGTTCTTTCGTGTACTTCATTTCTAAATCATATTATAAGAAAAAAATACATGAGGCTTTCACTTTCAACATGACGTCATTTGATATTAATTAAAGACGTCACATAATTGTCTTAATTTTGGAAGTAACAATGACAACAATACCACATGATATAAAATGTAAGATACTTATATCTACCCACGAGACTGCTTTCATACGACGGATATTTTTATCTTGCAAAACACACGTAAGAGAGACGAGGTTAAGCCCACAATTTAACACTGGAACCCCGTGACAGGAAGACATATGAATACAAGGGTATTCTACATTCTGCTTTAGAGCATCCTCGATATCCAGGGGTTACGTTCACGCTCAAAGCCTATCAAATTTTACCGTTATGTGACCGCGGTATTTATTTTGATGTATATCAAAGGATCGATCCAATATTCTTGTCTCATCAACAAGGTGGCGTACACGTAGCCTTCAATTTTGCTATGACATATTCCAGGGGTTTAGAGAGCGAAAGCAAACGTAACCCCTGGATATCGAGGATGGCTTTAGAGTAACGCTTACTATAAGGTTAAAGGACAATAGATCTGAAACAAATGAGTTGTATATGGTAAAATGCATAACCTTGAATTCATGGCAAAACATATTGCATGTACCTTTTCAAAGGGCATTATATAATACCAATGGTTGGCACGTAGGACTATTATTGTATACACTTACATTTCTATGTTTAACAAAATGCTTCGGTTTTATTTATTTTTTGTATCAAAGTTTCAAAAAAGCTTTTAGTTTACCCTTTATTTTTACAAAAATCTATATTCCATAAAACATTTATTCAAAAGTAACAGATAACACTAATTAAAGCATTATTCCTAGTGCCTAAGTATTGTTTAACGCACTTTATAAGGCCTTAGTATCGATTCATTGCGCATACCTATGGTTCAATTGTCGTATATACTACTTTAGCCTTTATGAATTATATCACCAACTCAATACAGAGGAGTACAGAGTTTCAGACCCCATGAAAAACCGTTTACCTGAAGGCGTCTCATTAAGAATATTTCAAAAAGTAATCGAAATAATTAAATTTCGTTGACAACAAATCCAAAACCAATTGAATAAAAACGTATCAAAAATGAAAAATACAAGATTAGAAAAACGGACGTACAGAAGTTCAAAAAGAAAGAACAAGAAAATTGATATCTGAAAAAAATACAAATAAATCTTGGCGGTCTCCTGCAAATGTGAGGATCCTTCTTAATGGAAAAGAAATGAATAATTTCCGAACTCCCTTTCAATTCTTGTTTCGCTCTTTGTAATGCAGATGGAACTTGTGTAGCTGAATAAATCTCAATTATCGATGCAGATCTTTTTTCCGGGTTTGATACTAATATCGTTCACATCTAGATCTATAACTGTTNCGTGTAGCTGAATAAATCTCAATTATCGATGCAGATCTTTTCTCCGGGTTTGATACTAATATCGTTCACATCTAGATCTATAACTGTTAATAACATGATCTCTTTCAATACCCCGTTCATGAAGATGGGTGTTCGGCGCCGAGACGATCTCGATCAGCGTTCCGTGTTCGGTGTGTCCTGTTTCTGATGAAGCGAAGAATACCGAGAGCGACTTGCCCTAACCACAGCAGGAAAGCCACCCAAGAGGCAATCTGGAATCAGAAAGTCTTGATGAACTTAATTGGTTCACAGGTCAAATACGGTGGATCAACAGGTGTTATATTATATGAACCAGAAACATCTTCATATGCAATATTTGAAAAGGGCAAATTATCACACTTGTTTCAATGCTTCATTCCATGCTTAATATGCATAGCTGGTAAAAATACAGAAAGACGTATTCTTGATGGTATAACGGGAAAAAACAACATTTTACGATGTGTTTACAGATATAACATGCATGTATAAAATAAGGTTAAATGATAAATACTGACTAGCACTGTAATGTGTTTTGTTGTTTAAAGTATAGAAACAATGTACAAATACGGTGAACCAGAAATAGATCAGGTCGGTTAAGTACACAATATTGTTAAAGAAAAACAATTATAAAAAAATAATATCCTGCTTCACCATATAGCCCACAAAATATATTTTCGGATGTACAAAACCATAAAGCACATAGGAGTTACGCTGGAATTACTGTACTTATGTGTTTGACATGTTAAAATGTGTACTGATCTTTTATATGTGTATTGATGTGTGATAAAGTGTAATGTGGAGTGGTATGTCCTTTATTTGAAATTATGTATAAAGAAGTATTAACACATGACAAGAGTTGCAATAATATATAACTATATGTAATTATTGGAATAAGGTGTAATGACGTAAAGTGATATTTTTTGTTATTGTGTCGGTTTATGATATGCAGAGTTGCGCATTAATTTGCAAAATTGTGTAATAATTTGTAACGATTTTTTTACGTAATGTATTTGTTATGTGCTATGTGCAATCATGAAATATGTAAGGGGTGTGTAAAGATGTGCAATGACAGGTAACGATTGAAATATAATGTATAAATGTATAAAAGTAATGAAGAATGATGTGTTATGACGTGTAAAAGGACTTCACCTGCTAGTGTGGAATAAGTACAGTGTGTAATGCTCTGTAATAATATGTACTATCATCCAATGTCGCACAGTGTGTAATGCTCTGTAATAATATGTACTATCCTTCAATATAGCACAGTGTGTAATGCTCTGTAATAATACGTGCTATCATTCAATGTCGCACAGTGTGTAATGCTCTGTAAAATATGTGCTATCATTCAATGTAGCACAGCGTAATGCTCTGTAATAATATGTACTAGCATTCAATGTCGCACAGTGTGTAATGCTCTGTAAAATATGTGCTATCATTCAATGTAGCACAGCGTAATGCTCTGTAATAATATGTACTAGCATTCAATGTCGCACAGTGTGTAATGCTCTGTAAAATATGTGCTATCATTCAATGTAGCACAGTGAGTAATGCTCTGTAATAATATGTGCTATCATTCAATGTCGCACAGTGTGTAATGCTCTGTAATAGTATGTGCTATCATTCAATGTAGCCCAGTGTGTAATGCTCTGTAATAATATGTACTATCCTTCAATATAGCACAGTGTGTAATGCTCTGTAATAATATGTAATATCATTCAATGTAGCACAGTGTGTAATGCTCTGTAGAATATGTGCTATCATTCAATGTAGCACAGTGTAATGATCTGTAATAATATGTACTAGCATTCAATGTCGCACAGTGTTTAATGCTCTGTAAAATATGTGCTATCATTCAATGTAGCACAGTGAGTAATGCTCTGTAATAATATGTGCTATCATTCAATGTCGCACAGTGTGTAATGCTCTGTAATAGCATGTGCTATCATTCAATGTAGCACAGTGTGTAATGCTCTGTAGAATATGTGCTATCATTCAATGTAGCACAGTGTAATGCTCTGTAATGATCTGTACTATCATTCAATGTAGCACAGTGTGTAATGCTCTGTAATAATATGTGCTATCATTCAATGTCGCACAGTGTGTAATGCTCTGTAATAGCATGTGCTATCATTCAATGTAGCACAGTGTGTAATGCTCTGTAATAATATGTAATATCATTCAATGTAGCACAGTGTGTAATGCTCTGTAAAATATGTGCTATCATTCAATGTAGCACAGTGTAATGCTCTGTAATAATATGTACTAGCATTCAATGTCGCACAGTGTGTAATGCTCTGTAAAATATGTGCTATCATTCAATGTAGCACAGTGTGTAATGCTCTGTAATGATATGTACTATCATTCAATGTAGCACAATATGTAATGCTCTGTAATAATATGTACTATCATTCAATGTAGCACAGTGTGTAAGCGTATGTAACAATGTGTACTATCATTTAATGTCGCACAGTGTGTAAGCGTATGTTACAATGTGTAATACTTGCTCATGCTGTCCAAAAGAATGATACAGTGCGTAATGATGATACACAATGGTGTGCACATTTGTAACTACAAAGTATACAAAGTAGTTTTAAGGCAAAAATAGTAAAACACAGTGAATATGTTAGACTATGTAGTGATATGTAATCATGATGTTTCTACCAAATCCCCCCCCCCCCACACCTTCCAGTCTATCCCTTAAACAATTTCTGTCGGATAAACATAAGTGTAAGTCATCCGATTAGCGAAGTTTTTTTCCCGTCAAGTTGATTGGTAAAACTTTTGAACTATGGAACCTTCAGTTTAAACATTGATGTCGTTTGTTTTCGTGATCCTCAATTACAGACATCCAACCGCGATGTAGTAGCCTATTAGATACCCAAGGTTAATCAAGCGGCCTGTTTTACGAGCAGACTTAATTAAAATTAACCAATATCTCAATATCTAAAGTGTTACACATCATCATAGAGTTGTTCAGAATGTTGTTTGGCTTTTCTTTTTATATTAATCAGCAAATTCATTACCTGAAACAAATTAGTACGCAGCCTCTGGTTCGTTGTTTGTAGATCAACAACGTCGATCACTCAACGATGAAATTAACAGTGTGATAGAAAGAAGTTCAACAATTTGTGTTCTCAGTTTTATATATCTCTCGGTAGTTAATTTTTAATTTGTTAAGAAGAAAAACAAAATTCATTGAGTTTTTGAAGGTCTTTGGTGTGTGTCCCAGTTTATCTAGTGCGTTGATAACTTCTATATTGGCCTACCCTTCCCCCTTTAGCTATGGAACGAAATGTGATTGATAAAGAAGTATGGAAATAAACCAAACACTGATTGTTTTCTGCCAAAAAGCAATAGTAGAAGGAAAATGAAGGTAGTATAACAAATTCTGTCAACTGGCACTAAATCAATTAATTGATTTTTTTTTCTGTTTGATATTTGAAAAGTTAAAACAACTAGTAAACGACGGTTACAAGTAGTGTGGCCTCTATATATGGTGATGAGCTATGGTACGTAATTGATCAACCAGTTTTACGGTATCTGTTAACTAGAACCCGTGGTACCTTTGCCACAGTCAATAATTCGTAGAAATTTCCCACGTTGAAGTGTACATCAGTACCTTGTCTAGTCCATTCCCCGTTTTGAGCATCAGGACAACTGGAATAAATAAACGGATTTTAATAATATTGTAAACATCATCACACAATCATACATGACTTCAGTCAACAACAGACTTAGAAAGGTGGTTTAATTAAATTTAAAAGTTATGTTATTGTGCAGGCTCCATCTCAATGGCACTGGTTCAAATGAAATGTTTTGAAGATTAATTTATGTTTGTGGGGTTTTATGTCTTAAGATGATCATACGCAATCAGTCACGTGACCAAGTTAAGTTACAAATAACAGCATACTTTGTGAAAAATCTCTTAAAGGGACTATTACCGCATATTCCATACGAGAGTTAGACATTGGCCCTTAAATATAATTTTGAAAGTTTGCAGCATTTATCAAAAATGATGACACTTTTATTAGTGTAATTAGAGAACGTGAAAGTTTTGTGGCATATTTTTTAAATTGTTGCTTTTTATGATATCCTTTAAAAGTGATGTTTACCATTATAGTCTCTGTGTAACATATATGAACGTTTATTATATTACATGCATAAACATTACAGTATAAATCATCCCCGCAATATAACAAGAGATCTAACATAATTTTAGGAATCCTCACCTATCCAAAACAGAAAAAAAGATAAAATACGTTTTGTAAATAAGACAAATATAATATTATAATGTATGTTTGAAATATGAATACAGTACATGTTTGTACATTAAACATGAATACAGTACATGTTTGTACATTAAACATGAATACAGTACATGTTTGTACATGAAACATGAATACAGTACATGATTGTACATGAAACTTGAATACAGTACATGTTTGTACATTAAACATGAATACAGTACATGTTTGTACATTAAACATGAATACAGTACATGTTTTTACATTAAACATGAATACAGTACATGTTTGTACATTAAACATGAATACAGTGCATGTTTGTACATAAAGCATGAATACAGTACATGTTTGCACATGAAACATGAATACAGTACATGTTTATACATGAAACATGAATACAGTACATGTTTGTACATGAAGCATGAATGCAGTACATGATTGCACATGAAACATGAATACAGTACATGTGTATACATGAAACATGAATACAGCACATGTTTGTACATGAAGCATGAATACAGTACATGTTTGTACATGAAGCATGAATACAGGACATGTTTGTATATGAAGCATGAATACAGTACATGTTTGTACATCAAACATGAATACAGTACGTGACTGTACATGAAGCATGAATACAGTACATGTTTGTACATGAAGCATGAATACAGGACATGTTTGTATATGAAGCATGAATACAGTACATGTTTGTACATCAAACATGAATACAGTACATGACTGTACATGAAGCATGAATACAGTACATGTTTGTATATGAAGCATGAATACAGTACATGTTTGTACATCAAACATGAATACAGTACATGACTGTACATGAAACATGAACAATTGCAGGTTTGTACATAAAACATGAATACCATGCTTTTTTAGGCAAGGCTTCTAAACAAATACGCACAATCAATGCTACCATTAGCGTCTGGAATTTCGAGTAACACGGAATAGCAAGTCTTTTAAGACGTTGACCGGCTCTCGTGCTCTTCCGTATGTGTACTTACTTGTTACTATAACGGCCCTTCGTGATGCCGTCACAAAAGGCGTTAAACCCCACAGTGATAATACAGGAGGAGATCAGGACCAGGATTGTCATCACGGAATTCAGCAATATAAACGGCAGCACCCACATTTCCAACCTGTGATAGAAATTTCTTCCCATGTAACTGGTAGGGTTTTTAATGATCAGATTACAACTGTTGCAATGTTATGTTTGTACGATGGACGACAAGTGCCGGACAATTGATTTTTTTTTATATTCTTGTGACCTCATAAAAGTGTACCATGGTACACGAATATATAAAAAAAAAAAGCAATTCTTTGTGTTCCACATAGAAGTGTATCAAGGTACACAACAGAATGATTTTTGTGTGTACAATATGTGGTACATAAAAGATGAGAAAATTAATTTTAGAAATCTCGCATACTTTCACGTGTTCATCGCTTTCAGTTCATCCTGTACTGTGGTATGGTACACAAAGATATGAAAGCTCGTCGTTTTCATTTGATTCTGTACCATAAAATGGAACAGCAAGGATGGTACAGAAAGATATGAAAGCATTGAAATGAACGACCCTTGGTAATAAAATGCCTAACCACAATATCACCTCTGATGAAAGACAAGTTTGTTACTCTTCTGCAAATGCTGGGGCCTTAATAGGGTTTTCTTATAGAGGGTAAAACGACGTTTTTTGTTTTTGATATGTCTTCTAAAATACAAATTGTTTTTGATTATATGCTCAAAAAATAACCGTTTTATAATCCAAAAACAAATGAAAATTAGTATAGCATATATATAGTAGTCTTGTATTCTTTGATTCTACATCGTATTTTATCAATTGGTTCCTACATCGAGCCCATCGGAGTTTTGTGTTAATGATGCTTTTCTCATTTGGTAAGTGAAGGCGGAAGGGTGTAAGCATTAGATAAAATCGGTTGAAATGCTTTCTCTGTTTGTTGTTAAAGCGCTTAACATAATTTTGTAAATGCTATAAGTTGGGTAGGTTATGTCAATTCATTTAACTATTATTATTATTGCCACTGATGCTGGATGTAATGAGAATTGCATCCATTCCGTGAGGTAACTACTATGTGTACGTGAGGCCTTATCAAACGGTAATTTGTCACACTGGATAACATTTCAAAGGCGACGGTTTCATATGGTTCTGTACTATGATCCTTTTCGGCCGTTGTGTTGGTACAGAAACATACAAAAGCAAAGGTTTGATAAAACTTTTCTTTCATATCATTATGTACCAGCCATGGTACACAACGATATGAAAAATCATTTCATTCTGTCCGCCTTTTGTCGGCAATCGTACTTCTGGAAAGCTTTACCTTAAATATCGAAGCAATTGAAGGGTTACAGACACGCTGATGACGCGATATAGGTAACAGATATTTCAGATAATACTTTCGTAGCAGTACTTATTACATGTAGCAAACAGATGACTTAACAATCACCATATTGTACATGTTTATTTATATCTCAATGCTACATCATATTTTGTTGGTTCGAATCCATCCAAGTGATGTTGCATTTTTCTTTCTTTTGCATTCTCTTAAAAATAAATGATATTATCTTTATGAACATTTTGTTTTCGTATTTAAATTTCTTGAATGTAACAATACGGAAATACAGTGAGGAATAAAGTTATTTTAACATTACGGGTTTCAAGGGTAAACTTACAAGAACATTCTGTTTTTTCCATTGATTTTTCAATAAAGCTTATCTTATTGACGTAAATTACTGATGATAGAAAAAGAATATGAAACCCATCGATGTTGCCAAGCGGTCAAGGGGTCAGGGAGTAGTCAAGAAGTTGTGTGGACGTCATGGAACAGGAAATCCTCATCATAATGTTACGTGCAATTCAGAAAGGCACATCCTATGCTGCTTCCCTCGATGCTTCAGGGGTTACGCTCACTTTCGCTCTCTGCACCCCAGGAATATGTCGTAGCAAAATTGAAGGCTCGGTGTGCGCCACCTTGTTGATGAGACAAGAAGACTTGTACGACCCTTTGATGTACATGTTCATCAAAATAATCTCGCGACCACGTAACGGTAAAAACCGACAGGATTTGAAGTCGGCTGTCGCTCCTTTGTAATCTTCAAAAGACATGTATCAGCCTAGCGATTGGTCAGTTTTTTTTTAACCCGAGACCAATTACACAGCTATCTTCGTACCTTCGATTTTGCTATGACATATTCTAGGGGTGTAGAGAGCAAAAGTGAGCGTAACCCTTGGCTATCGAGGATGATGCTGCTTTATCCTCGATACTACAGGGGTTACGTGTACTTACATGGATATCGAGGATAATGCTGCTTATAACATCGACAAACTTTAACGATCTAATCATTTAACTCATTTTTAACTAGACTTACCCAACATTGTGATTTGATCTAGATTTGTGGAGTGCGTAGGCGTTGTAGGCCAGCAGAAATAGCGAGTAGAAAATGCCGCCTAGCACGCTCAGGTAGATGGAGAAGTTACAGTTAAGCTGATCACTTGATTGCATAATGAATTCATTGTTAGACTTCCATTCGAAATCGCCGTACAGCATACAACTCCCGTCAAAGTTCGTCTGAAATAGGAGAAATCAGGTTACCACGGGCATTCATTACGTCGAACTATAGATGGGGATATTTCAAATCAACTAACCATGTTCTTTTATTGTTATATTTGCTTGTTATATGAAACGTAACGTCAGATGTTGACGCACAATAGTGAAACATACTTTTGACGTCATTTCGTTTCAGGTTTGACGTTTGTGACACATGACCGGCTTTGTAAAACATGTGTTTTCAGAGCTATCGGAATGCAAATAGACATACGTAAAGCACATATATGTGACATTCATGTGGTCACGATTTGAATATGACAAGTGAAACCGATTTTGACAATGATCGAGTTGAACGTGAAGATAACGGTTAGGAAGTGAAAGAAAAATGTGATAAATAACTCAGCCCGTATTAATACCATCTGCTTCCTTAATATCAACATGATATGTAAGTTACAAAGCACATATTGACTTAGCACGTAAAATAACATGCATGTAACCAAATATTCCGGAAGGTTTTTTTTATTTGATTGAAGCCCGAGAATGAAAGCGCGCTCAAGTTATATTACATTGTATTATGACGTGATATCATTTGCCATTTAGTCATACATAGGCATTGGTGTTGTTACCCTCAGAGTCATCACACTGTTCACACATTTCAATAATTCAATTTGAAAAATCACATACAAGATTAAATTTTCGCTCATCACTTTTTCCTCACAGGCTAAAATGTCTAAATGTTCCTCCTCCTTCAACTGTAATTTGTAAATGTGCAACCAGCTGTCCGTCAAAGTGAATACAGCTGACACACAATACACAATGGCAACTTTGCCCCAATCCTCGATATATCAGGGGTTAGACTCACTTACGCTCTCTGCGCCCCAGAATTTGTCATGACAAAATCAAAGGCTCAGTGTGTGTCACCTTGTAGATGAAAATTTTAATCTTCAAAGGCCCAGGTATCGGCCTACCAATTGGTCGGGTTTATTTTATACCTGAGACCAATCAAAAAGCTAGCCGCGTGCCTTCAATTTTGCTTTATATATATATAATTATTATACCTCTACTTTATTAAACTCTATATAAAAATAATTGGTTAAATCGAATATATCCCCACTTTTGCCTGACAGTGTTTTAGTCCTGTGTGTTAGTCTGGGAACTAAAACACACCTACACTCGGGTGTTTCCGCCGAGCCAATCAGGCGAGAGGTGGGTGGAGCTTGTTACCGAACACGGAAGCGACGCGGAGTCCGATAAACGGGAGCTGTGTAAAACTAGCTTTGCGCACGGAAATTTTCGTATTTTTCAACAGGAAGTATAACTAACACCAATATAAAATATCATCAATAAGTTTAGTTGATATATTTAAATATTAATTATTATATTTACGCATAAATTTTAAAAGATTGGTGTTAGGAAGCTCACATTAATATATACTAAAATGGCTGGAATAATCCCGAGTTATAAACTTTTCCGAAAGAAACTCGAGTGTTCCGAAGTGCCATTGCGTCTGTGAAGTTGATTCATGTTTAATTATTCAAATGACAATTTAGTTTTGTTGGCCTAAAAGATAAAGGTTCAGAAATAGTTCTTATTGGTGAGAATCACTGTCATTTATTAATCTGTTGCACGTCATTTTCAACCAGAATGAGACAAATGAAAGTAGTTTGCTGAGGATATAGGAATGACGGTCCAATTAAGTGCAGCTGTAATGATGCCAAACTCGGTAAGAGCGCATAGGGGTAATCCTTGTAATCTCGGACAGGCATGTAAACTCGGACGTTTTGCATTAAAGCACTGTATCCTTTCAATTATGTCTAGCGTTTGTTGTTTTTCGTCACTGATTTAATCGTTTGTGTGACTATGACAAAACCGGAAACGAATTCGAAAGAAGGCGATACTAGAAAACGGATCGGATGCCGGTAAAATCGGATTTTTTCCTGACACCCACGTGATACAGAGTCTTCAGCCCGGGAAATTTCAAGGTTAACGTGTTAAGTGTAAAGAATTCCAGGAGTGAAATAAGGTAAGTTTTAAGGGCATTATATTTGTAGTATGTGATTTTTTGGTTAAATATGTTTTTATTTATTATTCTAACACATAAAAAAAGAATTTTATGTACAAAATATAAGAAAAAATACATATAATACACTGTCCGAGTTTAAATGACACAATCGATATGCGGTCATTTAATTTCGGACATACTTCTAGACCAGAGGTTAAACAATGCCCAATCCCTTTTGTATATTAGATGCTAATAAAAAATATGTTTAAATCAACAATGCTGAAGGTATATAGTTGTTAATTTGACAATTTAAAAAAATGGAAACATTAGGGATCGTCAAATAAACATATAGATATATATATATATCATATGCATTGTTCATCTATAATATATATATGTAGATTATACAGAACATATATATACAATTTTGGTGAATGATAAGTGAGGAGCACAATCTAAATGATTTTTATATCAATTTTTAATTCATTTTTTAGATGTCAAGGAAAAATAAAACAAAACACAGAAGGGGACCAGAGCTAAAATATGATAGGTCAAATTTAGAACATGCTTTAAAATCTGTGAAGAGCGGGGCCATGTCTATTAGGAAGGCAGCAGGAACATTTGGCTCCCAAAATCTACCCTGTATGACAGAATTACAGAAAAATCCGCCATAGATGCTCACCCAGGACGAAAACCCGCCCTTCCAGAGGCTATAGAGAATAAGATTGTTGAAACAGTGAAAGAGGCGTCCCGGCAAGGAATTGGCATTAGTAGGAAACAACTGCTGGTGAGAACCGGTGATCTATGCAAGCGTTTTAGAGAAACACCGTTTAAAAAGGCTACACCTTCAAAACAGTGGTGAGAAGGACTTAAAAAAAGACACCCTGAATTGACCATTAGAAAACCGGAAAAGTTGGCTTCTGCCCGAGCGTCAATGCTGAACCCGGTGGTTGTACAGAAGTACATGAACGATTTAGGCAATGTACTGGATCAACTCAACATAAAGAACCGACCCGCCCAAATTTGGAATTGCGACGAAACCGGGCGAAATTTTGAACACACCCCTGTGCGGGTAATAGCAGAAAAGGGAGCGCGTAATGTTGTGGGGAGGACGACAAACAATAGGACAAATATCACCATTATGGCATGTGTCAATGCCGAGGGTAGATATATGCCACCAATGTTTATAGCCAAGAGGAAAACTTCTGCATCCGTCCATGGTTTCAATACAAGCGCAGCACCCACCGGTACGAAATGGGCGTGGCAGGAAAATGGATGGATAACAGACAAAATTGGTGAGCAGTGGTTTTCAGATGTATTTCTGAAGGAGTGTGGGGACGCTAGACCACAGCTGTTAGTATTGGATGGCCACTCCTCTCACGAGTCCCTAGCAATACTGGAACTAGCAAGGCAGAATAATATCCACATCTTATGCCTCCCACCCCACACAACGCACTGTCTTCAACCACTTGATCGGTCCGTTTTTGGACCTTTCAGTGGAGCATACAACACTGCTACATCTGAATATCTCAGCGAAAATCCCCTACACTCTGTAAACAAATGGAGTTTTCCAGGTACCATAAGCATAGCATGGGAAAAGGCATTTACCACAACTAACATTGCAAACGGGTTTCGGGCATGTGGGATTTATCCCTTCAATCCAGCAGCCATATCATCAGCTTCGTTTGAACCGTCAAAACCTACTGATGCTAAAACAGCTTTTGCCACCTTCCCAGTCACCGCCTCCGCAACCATTCCTGTCCCCAGTACCTTCTCCGACACACTCCACCTGATGGTTCCCGCCTCGACTTCATCCGCCGACACCCCTTCCGAAATAGTCCCTGCCCCCAGTCCCTCCCCCGACACATCCCACACGATGGTTCCCGCCTCGACTGCATCCGCCGACACCGCTTCCGAAATAGTCCCTGTCCCCAGTACTTTCTCCGACACAGCCCATATGTTGGTTCCCGCCTCGACTTCATCCGCCGACACCGCCTCCGCAACAGTTCCTGTCCCCAGTACCTTCCCCGACACATTCCACACGATGGTTCCCGCCTCGACTTCATCCCCTGACAACGGCTCCGCAATATTTCCCGTCTCGACTTCCGTATTAACGCTTCCCTACACAGCATCTACACCGATAACTCTATCTACTGCATGCTCTCCAGATTCTGACCCTATGTTGGCCGCAGATTCCAATTCCCTAAACCTCCTCGCGCCTTCTATAGTTGCTGAACAAACATTGTCTGATGAGAGCCATGATGTCCTATTCGACTTGTTTGTCGAAAGTGTTCCGCCCACTGAAGAGGAAACCTTGGGCACATTTTGGAACACCGAAATAGAACATATGTTCATTCCTCCAAAGGTTGTTGAGGAAACCACAAATAAAAGGAAACGAAACACGTCACATCGTCTCCTTACAAGTGACGATATTTTAAAGGAAAAACAGAGCGTTCAGGAAAAGAAAGAAGAAAAAGAGAGGAAGAAAATCGCAAGGGAGCAGAAGAAATTAAATTAAAAAAAAAAGACCCATGTTATGTGAAATAATATTTCAGTATTCAATTTCAATTATGGTCAGTAGTTCCGTGGTGTGACAATTGTGACGTATACTTAATACAATTATGAAGATACATATTATAGTCACAATCAACATGTGAAATGTATATATTTTAATGGATTTTGTTTTACTGAAAATGCCACCTCCTTTGCAGTATACACATTTTAAAAAGTTAGAGTTCCGCCTTGCAGGAACTGTGCACGTTGTTATTGTCATATCCGCGGAACAATTGTCTTTAAGTGCTGTGACGCTATTCCAATTTTGACAGTTTTTTAACGATATATAAAAATGTTGATCATATATCTAGACAGTTTCTTTATTATTCACAAAAAATGCCATGGTTGTTCATTTTCAGGATTTTTTTCATTCTAAGTAATTTCTTTTTAAAAATAAAACGCTAAAACTTGAAGCGACATTGCATCCGTTGTTTTGCAATGATTACCTAATATGGTACACCATATA